TATGCATTGGCACCACGCTTCCGTATACGTGCAACTCTCTAATAATACTTGTTGGATATTCAACAAGCTCAGGTCGGAATGTACTAAACGGTGTAGAATTTGGTGTGGTGCATTTACGCAGGCGAAGCAAACCAATGAGTATATCTTGTTTTGGGTCTTCATATGAGAGGAAAGTTTCCCAACCTCCATTGGCTACATAGTCTCTTCGAATCAATTCAACCTGTTTCGTGTATGTAAATTTTTCAAAAAAAAAAAAGATTCAGAGGATAGGATTCATAAGTAAACAGTAATAATTATGCATAATTTAAAAAATTAATCTATCCCGTTACAACCAAACAACGTGCATTTAACTAACCTCCTCAGGTTTAATCTTATTATGAATGTCTTGTATACCAACTTCACGAGTTCTCACATCTCTACACTTGATACCGAGGTCCTTCATTCTGTTTAGAGCCAATTCTCGAAGATTACCATGTTCTACACCAGAAGTGACCAAGGGCATCGGAATGTCCCTTTATTTATATATTATAATAAGATCGGAATTAGTATGTAAAGCTATAAACTCAAAATTATTTAAATTGAGATTTTCCAGTATTTCCGACTTTATAATTCACATATAGCAAATTTAAAAAATCGCTACAATATACCTCTGAACACGATAAATCCTAGTCCACGGAGGCACCATCGCCAATATTCTGGCAACTAAATCAATCAACGCATTTGGCGTATAGTTTTTATATCTACCTGTTCTCCATAACTCATATAAACCTTTTCAATGAACATTTGCATATATTTTCAGTAGTGTTAAAATAATATGTATATGTATTGGAGTTTTTTGGTGCATAGCATATAGGATAAAAAATTACAGATCAATATTTAGAGTTTAAACGGACAAGGAATTTAGTTATTAATGATTGCATACCAGTTCCACGAATTACCAACGTAGGATAAATTTTCAGTCCGTCAGTGCGAAACGCCGGACTTTCAAAGTATTCCTAAAAAATAAATTAAAACTACTGAGTCATAACATTAATTGGTAAATTATACACGGTTGATTGCTGAGATCCCAAATTTAGATATAAAATTCATTGGATTCAACCGTAATCTCATGAAAAAAGTTCATCTCAAATAAAAATAAATTCCCAGGTAAATCACCTTGAATTGTTCCAGATCTCGTTCCATACCAACATTTGGTAAATCTGGCATCATATGAGACACCACTTTAAATCCTGTATCCTTTGCTAATTGAAACGTTTCGGTTACGGCTTTGACCGTATGACCACGATTCGTATCTCTCGCCACATCTTCATACACGCTTTGAACTCCTATCTCAAGTCTGGTGCATCCATATCTAAGCATTTGACTATATGTAATCGTAATGCATACAATGTAAAAACAATTATTAAAGAATTTAATAAACGACCTTTAATGATTATAAAAAAAAATACCTTAAATGTGGCTTCAAGCAGTAATCAGGTCTTGTCTCGATCGTGATACCAATACACTTTGTCATACTTTTCTCAGAGTATCTGTTGATATAAATGTGTAAATATTAACATAGTTATCGGGTACCAAGAGGTCAAGATTAATTGTTTGATGGTATTAATCAAAGAACATGATTATTTAAACTACTATTTAGAAAGACTAATTTGGGACTAAATAACAATTAAACCGGATCAAAATAACTTTGCCAAATAAAATAATAATAATAACATAATAACTATTGCTACTTGTCCTGAAAGATATCAAAATCTTTAGATAATGTACCTAACAGCTTCATCAACACCATCAGCAGTATGACCCGATAGGGCATTATGCAAGTTAGAAATAAACCAATTCCTATAATCCTCAGGTAATGACATGAATGTGCCTCCCATAATTATGTATTCGACCTATTCGATTAAAAATTTTAAAAGATGTGGCTAGTAAATAAAGTATTGATAAATTGAAAATTTTCATTAGACCAAATTATTATAATAACAAATTTTGATTACTCCATATAACAAAAATATATTCAAAAATATTTAAAAACAAAAACAATACAGCGTAAAATATCTCTAAAGTTAGTTATACGGAATATAATATTACCTTATCAACGTTATGTCCTAGGCTTCTCAATTGATCCACACGGCCTCTCGCCTGCTCCAAAGGGTGATATCTCGCACGAATAGCTCTCATACTCGTGGGTTCATATCCTGTGTATGACTGTGTTGAATATTCAAAATCTGAATCAGGTCCACCTGGACAATACCTTCATTTGATCACAATTTCATTCGTTATTTGTGAGGGTTTAATATCCATGATGAAAAAAAATATTTTAAAAATACATACACACAAACATTTCCAGTCACGGCTATATGGGGACACCTATGTGGTTTACACATTACTGCCACAACTGCAATCTATTCACAAAGTAACTTATTAAATTATAAATCTTATTTCCTCTGAAATCAGTGATAAAAACACACCCCACTAGCAGTCCTAATTGGCTTTGCTTTTAGTTTTCCCATTAATACACTTTTGTATTGTTCAGGTATAGCAGCAATGATATCCACCAGTTTCGGCTGATTCGACAATTTATTAGATCTTGAATATTTGGTTTTTAACCCATTAAGGTTTACATCTTTGTTTGACTCATGAGCTTTGATTAGCTCGTTTATAATTTC